AATTTCTAGCCCCATCAGAATATGAGCAATGTCCAGTGTAGCGTAACAGTTACTAGGCTGGGTTCTGGAGCCTGACGCCTGGTTTTCAACACCACCTCTATCACTTCTTATGATTTGGAGCAAGTCACTTAACTTCCAAGCCTTTACTCAGTCATGGAACAAGAATAATAATTGTGTCTATATCATAGAGTTGTTGTGATGGGTATTAAATAAGAATTTAATACAATGTATAATGCATAGTAATCACTAGAAATCATTGGCTATTGTCACAGGTGATTGTATTAGTATTTATTAGACTTCAAAGTCTGTGTTTGCTTGGAAACTTTGCTTATCTTTTATTAGGAACAGAGGTAGTAACTCATGTAGTGAAGAAATTATGTCTATTTAATTGTGCTGTTATAACCACTTTTAGAAAGGTGCTTGCAAATAACAAAACACCCTATGTGTGTGTGTGTGTGTGTATGTATATATATATATATATATAAATATATATATATATTTTCTTTTTTTTTTTTGAGACAGAGTTTCACTCGCTACCCAGCCTGGAATGCAGTGGCGCAATCTCAGCTTACTGCAACCTCTGCCTCCCAGTTTCAAGTGACTCTCCTGACTCAGGCTCCTGAGTATCTGGGATTACAGGAGTCTGCCATCACTCCCGGCTAATTTTTTATATTTTTAGTAGAGATGTGATTTCACTGTGTTGGCCAGGCTGGTCTCAAACTCCTGACCTCAGGTGATCCACCCACCTTGGCCTCCCAAAGTACTAGGATTACAGGCATGAGCCACCACACTTGGCCCAACACCCTATATTTTATATAAATATTATACTATGGGCTGACTTGTATCTCTTCAAAATTCATATATTGAAGTCCTTAGCCCCTCAAACCTGAGAATGTGACTGTATTTGGAGATGGGGATTTTAAAGAGGTAGTTAAGGTGAAATGAAGTTATATGAATGGGCTCTTATCAAATATAATCTTATAAAACGGGGAAATTTGGACACAGACATGCACAGAGGGAAGCATGTGGACACACAGAGAGAAGGCAGTCATCCACAAGCCGAGGAGACACCACAGGAGAAACCAAGCCTGCTGACACTTTGATCATAGACTTCCAGCCTCCAGAACTCTGGGAAAATAAATTTCTGGGTGTTTAAGCCACCCAGTCTGTAGTACTTTGTTATGGTAGCTCTAGCAAACTAATGGAAGTGCATATTAATAAATGATTTATTGGCCGAGCGTGGTGGCCCACGCTTGTAATCCCAGAACTTTTGGTCAGGAGCTCGAGATCAGCCTGGCCAATATGGTGAAACCCTCTCTCTGCTAAAAAAAAAAATACAAAAATTAGCTGGGTGTGGTGGTATGCATCTGTAGTGCCAGCTAATCGTGAGGCTAAGGCAGAAGAATCGCTTGAACCTGGGAGATGGAGGTTGCAGTGATCTGAGATTGTGCCTCTGCACTCCAGCCTGGGCAACAAAGTGAAACTCTGTCTCAAAAATAAATAATTAAATAACTTATTAAAAGATGAAGGATTGATCAGGCATGGTGGCTCATGCCTGTAATCCCAGCACTTTGGGAGGACGAGGTTGGCAGATCATCTGAGGTTAGGAGTTTGAGACCAGCCTGGCCAACATGGTAAAACCCCGTCTCTACTAAAAATACAAAAAATTAGCCAGGTGTGGTGGTGCACACCTATAATTCCAGCTATTTGGGAGACTGAGGTAAGAGAATCGCTTGAACATGGGAGGCAGAGTTTGCAGTGAGCAGAGATCACACCACTACACTTGAGCCTGGGTGACAGAAAGGCACATTCCGGCCAGACGTGGCTCAGGCCTGTAATCCCAGCACTTTGGGAGGACTCTATCTCAAAAAAAAAAAAAAAAAAAGTTGAAGCATGATTCAGTGACCTTTTAATTCTAAGCGCATGATCTATCATTTTAAAAAATGCAACATTGCATTGAAAATGAAAAAAAAAATGGATATGTTTGATAAACAAATAGAACAAGTCACAAAGCAAGCTTCAGTTCCCAGGCTAGATTTCACATTATATGATTCAAATTTCGATAAGTAGAATTTTTTGGTTTCCAGAGCATTGTTTCAAATTTCCCACTGAAGACATGTTATTATTAAATGGGTTGAGTACAAGCCTAATTTTAGCTCAATACCTACAAGAGGTACAGGCGCTATCGTAATTTGCAAAGGAAATGAGCTGGGAGATTTCAACAGCATGTGCTTAGGAAGAACACAGAGCCCACAGTGACTGCTGGTGTGTTTATTAACCATCTCTTGGCCGGGTGCGGTGGCTCAAGCCTGTAATCCCAGCACTTTGGGAGGCCGAGGCGGGTGGATCACGAGGTCAAGAGATCGAGACCATCCTGGCCAACATGGTGAAACCCCGTCTCTACTAAAAATACAAAAAATTAGCTGGGCATGGTGGCACGTGCCTGTAATCCCAGCTACTCAGGAGGTTGAGGCAGGAGAATTGCCTGAACCCAGGAGGCGGAGGTTGCGGTGAGCCGAGGTTGCGCCATTGCACTCCAGCCTGGGTAACATTGAGGAAACCCCGTTCCAAAAAAAAAAAAAAAAAAACCATCTCTTCTCATTTTCTGCTTTCTTTTGTTTTGTTTTGTTTTTTGAGACAGGGTCACTGTCAGTCAGGCTGGAGTACAGCCTCAACTTCCCTGGGTTCAAGTGATCTTCCCACCTCAGCCTCCTGAGTAGCTGGGCCTACAGGTGTGTTTTTGTATTTTTTGTAGAGGCAGGGTTTTCGCATGTTGCCCAGGCTGCTCCCGAACTCCTGAGTTCAAGCATTCCTCCTGCCTTGGCCTCCCAAAATTTTGGGATTACAGGAGTGAGCCACTGCATCCAGCCTTATTTTCTTATTTTCTGTATTTTTGATGGTCTGGCATTTGGGGCCTCAACTGGCTAGGTAGAGTCTAACCTTCTCAGGGTTGACTAATTGCTAGAGATAGCAGACGGGTCCCTTTTGTTTGAGTGGTCCTTTCATCTGGGGTGGCCTTTTTTTTTTTTTTTTTTTTTGAGATGGACTCTTGCTTTGTCGCCCAGGCTGGAGTGCAGTAGCGCAATCTCAGGTCACTGCAACCCCCGCCTCCCAGGTTCAAGCAATTCTCTGCCTCGGCCTCTTGAGTAGCTGGGATTACAGGCACCCACCACCACGCCCCGCTAATTTTTGTATTTTTAGTAGAGACGGGGTTTCACCATGTTGGCCAGGCTGGTCTTGAAGTCCTGACCTCATGATCCACCCACCTCAGCTTCTCAAAGTGCTGGGATTGCAGGCGTGAGCCACTGCACCCAGGCTGAGTGTGCCTTTCATATGCAAACCAACCAATCCGAAGCCAATTACCCACCGACCCCCCACAACCTTCTCTATCTAGCTGTCACACTCTAGGCCACTATCCACCTGCCCTAATGAACCAGAGCCAGGTACTAGACAACCAGGGACATCGCCTGTGCCCCAGAGCACACTGTACTCAAACTAGACAATCCTAAATGTGCTTACCATGCCTTGCATTGACTTTTCTGTGGAAATGATGCTAAAGACTATTGCCCAGGTTTTCCCCTTGCCCCCTCTGTCTCCTGACCAACCCTGCTGTTTCCCATGAGGCCATGCAGTGCCTGGCCTGCCCCCTTCTGCTGAGAACCAAGAGTAACAAACTATCATTCAATAGTAGTCATCTCTGGAACTGCTGGTCTCACTGTACCTGAATATAAAGAAAATCTTGGGTACACTATAAAACAGGAAGCTCACTCAGAGGGGTCTATGCAGGAGGCCTGTGGTCCCCCCTTGATCTGGATGGAACCACCCAGTCTGTAGATTTCCACTCATGGCTAGAATCTTACCTCCACACTCTTCCTCTAGGATGCCCCAAATTCCAAGTTAGATCTTCATTCCTTCCATTTGAGCCTTTAGTTCTTTATTACATGCAATGTCCCTGGACGTAGACATGGCTTATGCTTTTATCATTTATCCAACCCTTCCAGGATGTGAGAGCAAACTACACAGGCACTGGGCTGAGAACCGGAGAGGGACAGAAGAGATGCCACTGCTGCCATTGGTAGATGCCCTTGTCAAATTTTTTTACTTATTTTGTCATTGATGATTAAGAAAGGGATTGTGGGGATATGAACCTTGATTTCGACCTTATGTTTCCTTTCTTCCTCGTGTGTTCCTTTCCTACCTTTTAGTTTTTGGCTTCATTGTTCTCACTATAGCTAATCCAGATAAAGAATTACAAGAATTCCTTAACTAGTTGGAAAACAACATTTCAATGATTAATCACCTCTAAATAATAATAATGCAAATTGTAAAAATGGTAAGACGAGTTAAAGCAAACTCTTGGGATAAACAGGAATCTGTGGAATAGGCTTCAGACTCCCACTTTTTAAATGATATTCTACAAATACATTTATCTATTTCTTTTTTTTTTTACACCTCAGACAGAGTCTTGCTCTGTTGCCCAGGCTGGAGTGCAGTGGCGCCATCTCAGCTCACTGCAACCTCTGCCTCCCAGGGGTTCCAGTGAGTCTCCTGCCTCAGCCTCCCAAGTAGCTAAGATTACAGGCGCCCACCACCATTCCTGGCTAATTTTTGCATTTTTGGTAAATACAGAATATTGTCATGTTGGCCAGGTTGATCTCAAACTCCTGTTCTCAGATCCAGCTGCCTTGGCCTCCCAAAGTGCTGGAATTACAGGCGTCAGCCACCGTGCCCAGCCACATTTATCTATTTCTGATTACTCCTAGGCTTCCAGAGGTTTCTCATTGTGGATATGGCCAAATTAGAGAATGAGAAAGGTGAGGCCAGATTATCCCAGAGGAAGCCTAGGAAGCTGTGGGAGCAGGATTCAGGAAGACAGAAGATCCAGGTACCAGGGGTGGTCGTCACCAACCATCCTAACACCGCTGTACGGTAATGGTATAACCGATCCCAGTTTCGACTGTTTAACACTCAAAAGGCAAAACTCAAGAGAGAAGAGTTGGTGGGAGGAAAAGTAGGTTTATTCAGAGAGCCAGTAAACAGAGAGGAAAGTGAACTAGCATCCTTGAGTGCCGTCTTAAGTTGGTACAAATTTTAGGCACTTTTTATGTTGAGAGGAGGTGGAAGAGGAGGGGTTTCGGGATCAAGGGGTGACCAGCAGGCAACTGCAGACATCTGGGTGCCAGCGAGGGTCTGAGGAGGTTGGGAACTTCTTTATCCTTGGTCAGGTCATGATGCTCCTATAAACCTTTAACAAAACATAGTTAGTTGTTTATATATTTCTCCTTTAATCCCAGAGTTAGTTTTTTAAATTAATACGATTGCTATGTTTACATATTATCTCAGTGCTCTAAAATTATCCTAGCCTATGTGCAAGAATAAGGGGTAAAAAAGCCCCTTAAACAAAAATGGAGTGAGTTCTGTTAGTTCTTTTGCTGTTTCACTGCTACAATGGCCTTTTGGAGTTACAGTCGCCTCATTTAGCCAGGGCCTGATTTCATAACTTGAGGTCTTCGTGGATAGGAATCTTCAGGAGAAATATCTAATTTGGTCTGTGTTGATGTCTTCAAGCATGAAGAAAGGCTTGAAGGAAAACAGGCTGTTCCTAACCTGCAGGAGAAATGGATCATATTAACCCGGGGCCCTGGAAATGCCCATTTCTGGAGCTGTCCTTCAGGAGGTCTCAATCACTGAAGGTCTTGCCTTTTAAGTTTTCTCATCTGAGAATGGCCTCAAAGGGGCAGAAAGGGTCTTGGGACTCTGGCTGGCAGGAAGTCCATCTTCAGCAGCCCATTCCCACCTCCCCTCACCCCTCCCAGCCTTCCTTCTTTACCCTACGTAACTCCCTTGGCCCTCCTGCCAGCCGTGCTGTCCATATATGAACAGTGCTCTACTTTGGTGAGAAAAAAAGGATCTTTAATTTTTTTAAAAAAAATTATTACTAGTATTAGTACCTTGTGGCTCACACCTGTAATCCCAGCACTTTGGGAGGCCAAGGCAGGTGGATCAGTTGAGGCCAGCAGTTCAAGAGTAGCCTGTCAACATGGAGAAACCTTGTTTCTACTAAAAATACAAAAATTTGCTGGGTGTGGTGGCATGCACCTGTGATCCCAGCTACTCAGGAAGCTGAGGCAGGAAAATTGCTTGGACCCAGGAGGCAGAGATTACAGTGAGCGGAGGTTGCACCACTGCACTCCAGCCTGGGCAACAGAGGGAGACTCCATCTCAAAACAAAAACAAAAACAAAAAAAACACGAAAATACTAGTACCTTGATATTTTTTCTATCTCTAGAGGTTTGCTTAAAAATACACACATATAGCCAGGCCCAGTGGCTCACACCTGTAATCCCAGTACTTTGGGAGGCTGAAGTGGGCGAATCACCTGAGGTCGGGGTTCAAGACCAGCCTGACCAACATGGAGAAACCCTGTCTCTACTAAAGACACATAATTAGGTGGGTGTGGTGGCACATGCCTGTAATCCCAGCTACTCGGGAGGCTGAGGCAGGAGAATCACTTGAACCCGGGAAGCGGAGGTTGCGGTGAGCTGAGATCGAGTCATTGCACTCCAGACTGGGCAACAAGAGTGAAACTCTGTCTTAACAAAAACAACAAAAAAATACACACATCTATATTAGGGAGAAGGCTACATAAACACTCAAAGACATAAAACAACAATGATGCAACATCAGATATTCTTCAGGAAGGCAGTGAGGGTAGGATCCACCAGGCCCAGCCTCCCAAAGCTGTCCTCTCTGCTCCCCACAGCTCCTCCACGGGTTAAGCTGGCTCCACTCTTGTGTCCTTCCCATCCTTAATTCAAACTCCATGTCCCTCTTCTTCGACTCTTTCCAAATTTCAAACTGCAGCCCTGATGGATTATTTCTTGTAAGAAGGCTGCTCTTCCTGGCCAACCTGAAAAACTTCCCGGCTCATTACCATAGCAACAGGAGCATGCTGCTGAAATCTGCAGCCCCAAGGGGCTGGCAGCGCAGCCCCCACACACCACGATTCAGATGGTAGCCACCTCAGGCCGCTGAAGGAGCAACCTTTCCTGAGCTCATAGACATTAAAAATAGGGAATGATAACCCTTGAGCAAATTACTGCTTGCCTCCAGACCCCTTTCTCTCCTGTGTGTGACAGGAGTGAGTTTTTCTCTTTCACTGTAGAGGAAAATCTCGAGATGGTTCTGTCTAATTCCACACAAAATAGTGACTCACTATACAGGTCGGGAGGATCCTCTATTCAGCGATCACCATCCCTCTGAGGGCTTAGACCCACCCTGCACCTCAGGACACTCACAACCGGGGCTATGGAAAGGGGGGATAGGTGAGCTGTTTGGGACCAAACACAACTTGGTGGCTGATACTGGCATGGTCCTCCCTCGCAGTGCATGGGGTCTTCTGGCTGCATGACCGATACCAAGAGGGAAAACGGAGGTTCTGTGGATTAGGCGAGCACAGGGCTCACTCAGATGGTGACCAGGTGGGCAGCAGGCCCTGAACAGGCCTTGAAAAGGCCTATGTCCAGTCTTCTACCCAATCCAGGGAATCTTTTTTAGAGTCACTGCAGCCTCCAACTCCAGGCTCAAGAGATCCTCCTACCCCAGCCTCCTGAGCAGCTAAGACTACCAAGCTGCCAGCTAATTTTTTGAAGGGGGGGTAGGAGTGGTCTTGCTTTCCCCGCTGGCTGATCTTGAATAGACTTCTTTCAAGGCATTCCTTCCAAGTCTTTTTCTAACTACATGCATCCCTCCATTTCCCCCTCATGCCCTTGGCACTGGGGCTTTTAAAATTCAAAGACCAATAATTAAACCTGTTTTTCTTTCTGTTCATCCCCAGTTCTATCCACATGCTTATGCAGTGCACACACACTGCCTAGGTAGGGGCTTATTTGAAGTTACTTTGTGCAGGCTGGTGGACTCTATAGGTCTCTTCATTTAATTTTATTTAATTAATTAATTTATTTTTGAGACAGAGTTTCACTCTTTTTGCCCAGGCTGGAGTGCAATGGTGCGATCTTGGCTCACCTCAACCTCCAGGTTCAAGCAATTCTCCTGCCTCAGCCTCCCAAGTAGCTGTGATTACAGGCATGACCCACTATGCCTGGTTAATTTTGTATTTTTAGTAGACACGGGGTTTTTTCATGTTGGTCAGGCTGGTCTCAAACTCCTGACTTCAGGTGATCCGCCTTCCTCAGCCTCCCAAAGCGCTGGGATTACAGGCTTGAGCCACCGCACCCAGCCAATCCCTTCATTTTAAATGCATAAAAATAAAAAGGAAACCAGTCGTATTAAAAGACAAAGCGTCACTATATTAATAAACAAATGTGTGATATAGTAATATGTGTGCCTAATAAGATCAGCTTTTCTTATTTCAAATTGTTAATGTGCATAAGCGTTATTTTGAAACGTGTGCCATCAATCCAGAGTGCTATGAAAATGTCTCTGTTCTATTGGTTGCAAAGTCACAAGTACTGTGGAAAAGGCCAGCTGCCTAGGTTAAAATGGAAGGAAATGTTAGATTTCAGTTAGGCATTATACCAAAAACTGTGAAGGGTCTGAGATTTTACCCTACTAGGAAAGGTAAAAAATTAGCATGAGACAGTTTCAGGGATGCTGCTAGAAGACACGAGACCCCTGGGTTAGACATGAAAAGCCGTTTGCTACAGCAACAGCAGCATCCAGAATATCAGCATTTGCGCTGGTTCTCTGAGCCCCATTTCCCACAGGGCCATGCAAAGATGGTTAGATGATCCCTGCACACACTGTGGGTTGCGTTACATTATTTATGTTAACATGTAATGGATGCATGCTTTTAAATAAATTAATCAATATTTTAAATTTTTCTCAGTTTTAATTTCTGTCTTTTTTCTTTTTTTGAGACAGAGTTTTGCTCTGTCGCCTAGGCTGGAGTGCAGTAGTACAATCTTGGCTCACTGCAACCTCTGCTTCCTGGGTTCAAGCGATTCTCCTGCCCCAGCCCCCTAAGCAGCTGGGATTACAGGTGTGTGCCACTATGCCCAGCTAATTTTTGAATTTTTAGTAGAGATGGTGTTTCACCATGTTGGCCTGGCTAGTCTCAAGCTCCTGACTTTAGGTGATCCACCTGCCTCGGCCTCCCAAAGTGCTAGGATTACAGGCATGAGCCACCATGCCCGGCCTCAGTTTTAATTTCTAAAATATTGATAGATTCACATGATCAAAAACTGTTTGGGTTCATTGATAATTTTTAAGTTTGTTTACTTTAAAATGTTGGTCTTGAGACTAAAAGCTTGGGAACACCTGGTTTAGATCATTACATTGCATGGCTGGGAAGGTAGGCAGGAGGCAAAAAGAAAATGCTGGCAATAAAAAAGTGTATTAGATAATAATTTAAAATTTTTTAAAAGGAAGTGTTGAGGGAGGTGATACCTAGGGTGGCAGCATTAGGATTCTGTGACATGGGAGGGTAAAACTCTCTTCAAGACTGAAGTCAAAGACACTTTAGTGGAAGGAAGCAACAACATGGTAGGAAGGAACTAATCCTTCCAGCAGCCTGGTGAATCCAAGGTTAAATTTTTCCCTCCAATATGGTTTCACTTTAGTCCCCACTAGACTCTCCTAGAAAGAGCAGAGGAACAAGGAAGAAATCAGAAAAACCGAGCATCTGCCAAAAAGAGACTGAAATCAGCATTACAGGCTGGTTTACCATCCTGTTCCCAACTCCACATCATTTCTGCATGGGAGCTCAAGGGGAATATGAGCTCTATTCGATAAAAGAAAGCAGCAGCATTCTCCGTATACATGCAAGTCATTGTCTCTCATCCTGCACCATTGTAGACACCCAGGGTCTGGGTACCTAAATAACTGAAGTCAGGGCTTTGCATCTTCAGGCTTACAGGATCAATGCTGCATAATCATTAGCTAACAAACCCGTGGTGGTGGTTGGTGGTGGTGGTGGTTGGCGGTGGTGGTGTCTAGACCTCCAAAGGCAGAAACTCAGTCTCCGGAAGGCTGAGGTGGTAGACGGGGGGAAAACAGAAGTAGGGGCGCCCAAATGTAAAGACCGGAGTTTCCTTTTTTACGATTTTGCCTAAAATGAAAATGGAAGACAGGGGTGCATATAATTTAGACCTTTGGATGCTTGCCTTTCTCTATTTCCAGTCATAAAACCTTGATATATTGAACATAACTTTTTTTTTTTCCTTTGCTATGGCTCCCTGCTTCCCCACATTTTTTTTGTTCTCATTGTGTGGTTTGTTTTGTTCTCATTGTGTGGTTTGTTTTGTTCTCATTGTGTGGTTTCTTGTTTTGTTCTCATTGTGTGGTTTCTTTTTTGTTCTCATTGTGTGAAAACCAAGGTGGGTGGTAGAAGATGCCCTTGGCAAAAAAAAGAGCTGCATCCCTTTCCACGCAACCTCCTCCTTCCCCCGGCGATCTCCGTCCTTCCCCTTGGTCCCTGATTCACTGTGTCCCTGACATCTCTCCTTCTGACTGATTTCCACTCACTGGCCTCAGGAATGTGCTCAAAAACTAATCATTACCAAAGTATCAATGCCCTGCTGGCTGCTCTGGTTATCCATTGCTGCATAACAAACCATCACAAAATCGAGTGGCTTCAGACAACAATCATTTTCTTATTCTCTCTCTGGTTCTGGATGCTGACTAGTGCCGCGGGCCCTCCTGGCTCAGGGTATCTCCTGCAGTTGCAGTCAGATGGAAAACTCAGTGGCAGGGGGTGGTGACTCCAGAGCTGATGGATCTCTGTGTCTGGCAGGTGATGCTAGCTGTTGGCTGAGGCCACAGTTGGGGCTGGTGGACAGACACCTACATGTGGCCTCTGCATGTGGCCTGAGCTCCCTCACAGTGTAGTACCTCCTCACAGCAACAGGAAACCTCCTAAGAGACAGCCAGGAGGAAGCTCTGCTACCTTTTATGACCCAGCCTCAGCCTCAGATCTGCTGTAGTCGGTCTGTAGTTATAAGCTCCCACCCAGATTCATGGAAGGAGACACAGACTCCAGTCTCAATGGAAGGAGTATCCAAGAGTTTTGGGGTCAAAGCAAGTCCCCGCTTTTCCCTTGCCCTCCTTAGTTAAGTCTGGACCATTGAAACTTCAACTTTACTACGATATTAGGGGCCAGGTGTGGTGGCTCATGCCTGTAATCCCAGCACTTTGGGAGGCTGGGGCAGGTGGATCACCTGAGGTCAGGAGTTTGAGACCAGTCTGGCCAACATGGTGAAACCCCATCTCTACTAAAAAAAAAAAAAAAAAAAAATAGGTGGGTGTGGTGGTAGGCGCCTGTAATCCCAGCTACTCGGGAGGCTGAGGCAGGGGAATTGCTTGAACCCGGGAGGCAGAGATTGAGGTGAGCCAAGGTCATGCCATTGCACGCAGCCTGGGCAACAGAGCGAGACTCTGTCTCAAAAAATAAATAAATAAAAATAAATATAATTTTTTTTTGAGACGGTAGTCTCAGCTAGTCAGGAGGCTGAAGCAGGAGAATTCCTTGAACCTAGGAGGTGGAGGTTGTAGTGAGCTGAGATTGCACCACTGCACTCCAGTCTGGGCGACAGAGCGAGACTCTGCCTTAAAAAAAAGAAAAAAAGGTTAATAGCAGACCTTCCCTCACCCTCATGCCCACAAATAATTGTTAAAAAAACAAAAGCGTCCCCACATTTCCAGTGCTCCATAGGTACACAATATCACCCTCAGCTGGGAACTACTGCCGTGTGTGTGTGTGTGTGTGTACAATGCTTGTTTGTTTTTAAATTTTATTTTTTTTGATACATAATAAATGTACAGTTTTCAGGGTACATGTGATAAGTTAATACATTCAGATATTTGTAAAGATCAAATCAGTGTGATTGGAAAATCTATTACCTTAAACATTTGTCTTTTCTTTGTTCTAGGAACACATGCAAATTATTCTCTTCTAGCTATTTGAAATACACAATAAACTATTGTAAACTGTAGTCACCCTACTGGTCTATCAAACACTAGTTCTGAGTTCTTCTATCAAACTGTATATTTGAACTGTACTAGTCAGCCTCTCTTTATCTTCCCCTCTGCCCTTCCCAGCCTCTGGTAATCAGCAATCTACTCTCTACCTTCATGAGATCCACTTTTTTTAGCCCTCACATTTAAGTGAGAACATGTGATATTTGTCTTTCTGTGCTTGGCTTTTAACACCTAATATAATGACACAACCACCTCTCGACCAAGAAAACAGGACAGGTCCTCTCTCCCACCTACCTTGGATGTTCTATGTTCTTTCTTTCTGATGACTAATACTTGGCATGACTCATTTCAAAACTCACATAGATATGACCTCACCATGTCACCCTTGGTGGATGTCTCATTTTTTTTTTTTTTTTGAGATGGAGTCTCACTCTGTCACCCAGACTGGAGTACAGTGGCAAGATCTCGGCTCACTGTAACCTCCGCTTTCTGAGTTCAAGTGATTCTCCTACCTCAGCCTCCCAAGTAGCCGGGATTACAGGCATGTACCACAACACCCAGCTAATTTTTTTTTTTCTGTATTTTTAGTAGAGACTGGGTTTTTCCATGTTGGCCAGGCTTGTCTCGAACTCCTGACCTCAAGTGATCCACCTGCCTTGGCCTCCCAAAGTACTAGGATTACAGGTGTGAGCCAACATGCTTGGCCAGTGCCTTGATTCTTAACTCAGGTTATGAGAATCTCTCTCTGCGTGCAGTTTCATAAGACAAGAGGTCTCTGGGCACACACATCAAGGTAGGACGAGAAGAACTGGGTGCAAGTGCTCTATTCCGCAGCCCATAAGTACATACTTGTGTGAAAAAAAGTACACATCAAAACAAAGGACAGAAACCACTGAAATAAAATAGATGTTGATATTTCAAACTTTTTAAGAAATTTTTTGAGACAGGGTCTCACTTTGTCACCCTGGCTGGAGTACAGTGGTGCAATCTTGGCTCACTGCAGCCTCGACCTCTTCCAGGGCTCAAGTGAGACTTCTGCCTCAGCCCCCCCAGGTAGCTGGGACTACAGGTGTGTACCGCCACACTTGGCTAATTTTTTGTATTTTTTGTAGAGACGGGTTTTCCCCATGTTGCCCAGGCTGGTCTTGAACTCCTGAGTTCAAGCAATCCACCCACCTCAGCCTCCCAAAGTGCTAGGATTACAGGTGTGAACCACCACAACACGCCAGCCCCAAACTATTTTAAATAAGTATTCTTCTTTCCCAAACATTATTGAAAAATAAGCTGGCCGGGCGCGGTGGCTCAAGCCTGTAATCCCAGCACTTTGGGAGGCTGAGGCGGGTGGATCACGAGGTCAAGAGATCGAGACCATCCTGGTCAACATGGTGAAACCCCGTCTCTACTAAAAATACAAAAAATCAGCTGGGCATGGTGGTGCGTGCCTGTAATCCCAGCTACTCAGGAGGCTAAGGCAGGAGAATTACCTGAACCCAGGAGGCGGAGGTTGCGGTGAGCCGAGATCGCGCCATTGCACTCCAGCCTGGGTAACATGAGTGAAACTCTGTCTCAAAAAAAAAAAAAAAAAAGAAAAAGAAAAAGAAGCTATAGTAGAAGAATCATTGAGCCAGGCAACCTTGTAAGTTTGTAAGTTTACAAGTATTCTTAATATTGCTGCATAGTTAAAATAAGCCATGAATCTCTCATTCCACAGTTATAAGCCTCAAGATCAAAAAGCTAACCTATTTCAGAAGCCTTTTAAAGGAGTTGAGGGAATATCCTGAGAACAAAAGGCACTCAAGCATTAGTAAAGTAGAAGAACCATTTTTCATACAACAACTTCATCTTGATGCAAAACACACACCTTTCCCATATACACTGGACCAGGGTATTACCTTATATTAGGTTAGTGTAAAAGTAATGGTAAAAGCCACAATTACTTTTGCACCAACCTTAAAAAAGTAATTGTGGCTTTTGCCATTACTTTTGCACCAATATAATATATACCAGAGCTCACATCTTCAAACTGGTCCCCATGTGACAGGATATCCTTCAGCGTGTCCTTTTCCTTCTCACCTGCTCAAGGAAACTGACAGGTATTGCACACGGCCCCGCCCCGCCCCTCTGGTTGGTTCCTCTGCAGTCCTTGGCATTTGGACCTGTCTCTAACGTGTACCCCACGCCAACAAGAGCAAATGGTGAAGGCAGCTCTGCATCAGTCAAAAGATGTTATAGGTCTCACAATGCACTACAGCACCTCTTTACTCAATGATGGAAGGTTTTTACAAATGAATATGTCCCTCAATTTCAAATCGCATTCAGGTTCAATGACACCATGCAGGTATAATCACACTGTTTTACAATCCCAATCAATACAGAAGACTAAACACAGTTAGTTGAATGCTTAAAATTACAAGAGCCATCTACTCTAGAATAAGGATGGATCAAAGTCCAGGAATTTCTACTTTCTTTTGTACTACAACAAGCTGAGCTTTCAAAGGTTTGGAATAATCAATAAAAAACCTTCTTCCAACATAGGATTTCCAGACAGCAAAAACGAACAACAGCAAAAACCAAACAGGATACCCAGTTAAATCTGAATTTCAGAAAAACAACAAGTAATTGTTTAGTATCTGTGCCATGGTACATTTGGGAAATAATTGTACTAAAACAATTATTTGTTGTTG